TCAAAAGACAATAACAACAAAAAAAAAGACTATCACTTTGAAGAATAAATAAATAAATAAATATGAATCTATACATACATACACATACACACACACACACACACACACACACACACATATATATATATATATATATATATATATATATATATATATATGTGGTGTGTGTGTGTGTGTGTGTGTGTGTGTGTGTGTGTGTGTGTGTGTGTGTGTGTGTGTGTGTGTGTGTGTGTGTGTGTGTGTGTGTGTGTGTGTGTGTGTGTGTGTTCATCACGCTTTTTCAAGTCTAACTAGAAAAAACCCAGTTAAGTTTGACAAAAATCAAACTAAAATGACGTACAAGAAAGGGAAAAAATAACCCAGGCACCTAAAACAGACAAACACAAACACAGAATAAAAAAAAACGAAAAAAAAACAGATAAAGGCAATAATAAAAGAAAAAAAGAAGCTAAATTGATCCTTATCTACAACCAACACAAGTGTCATGCTGGTGAAGTATGTGTAGCTGACACCTGTTGCTACCTCGTACGATGACCTTGCTACAACGACCATATTTGTGACACCGTGTCATGCTTGCCCAAGGAAACTGTACCCAATTTCTGTGGCAATGTAGATGGGAACTCGCTTGGAAATCACAAAATAAAACTAGGCAACCCCAAATACCGTAAATTTTAAGAAAGTATTAAGCGGTATTACCGAAAATGACATGTACGTTTCGTAAAGTCATTTGTTATTTTGTTTATATAAACTAACAACTCGTATAGTCTTAATATGTGCTATATCAAGTATAATATATGCTATATTAAGTAGAACAGATACAACTATTCTTTTAAAACAACGAAAAAAAATGGGAGTCTAAACATTACCTAACTTTATATAGGCCTATCAGTTCATTGCCATCCCGAAGGTCGAGGGAGAACTATACATAAAAAGAAAATAAAAAGAATTTCTGAAAAAAATAAATAAAACATAATTTCAAATGCTTGTGCGGTTCACGACGGTCTAACGTACGTACGTGTGTGTGTGTGTGTGTGTGTGTGTGTGTGTGTGTGTGTGTGTGTGTGTGTGTGTGTGTGTGTGTGTGTGTGTGTGTGTGTGTGTGTGTGTGTGTGTGTGTGTGTGTGTGTGTGTGTGTGTGTGTGTGTGTGTGTGTGTGGGCGCGCCCGTGCGAGTGGATAGCACATCCTCGCGGTGAATACACGCACATGAAGGTCGAGACAAAACTATGCACCAAAATGTGTAAAAAGAATTTCTAAAACAAATTAAACAAAACATCATTTCACTTTCCCCCCAAATGCTTGCGCGGTTCACGGCGGGCTAACGTAGGTGTCTAGTGTGTGTGCGTGTGTGTGTGCACATCCTCGCGGTGTAGTCACGCACACACGCACACATACACACACAGTCTCGTGTAGACAGACTGCCTTCCACTTAACCCACAACCCATCTCCCTTACTTCTCCTTAAGCCCAAGAGGTGATACTAAGCTTAAGTCTTGGGTTTCCCGAATTATTCTTACACGGGAGAAAGACATAAAAAAACGGTGGAGAATTCTATTAAATATACCTCAAATAGGACAAAATAATACTTTTAAATACTAAAAAATAATGCTTCTAAATACTATTAGAAGCGTCGCACAAAAGATGGAAAACCATGAAGGTTATAAACTAGGGTCGGTACTGCCCTTAAAAAAAAAAAAAAAAAAAAATATATATATATATATATATATATATATATATATATATATATATATAATAATATATATATATATATATATATATATATATATACATAAATGTGGTGGTTCAGCCTTTAATAAAAATATACAAAATCTTTTTAAAAAATATGGCAAATTACAGTGGAAGAAGACATTCATGGCACCCCTACAACCACAGATCCATAAGTCCATGGTGCCATGAGGTCTCAACCCCCCCTATCACCTCCCTACCCCCACCCCCTAAGCATCCCTTGCCAGAGGTACAAATCAATATCGCTTGGGTTGACATTAAACCTTAGGCTGTTTTCCAGGTGATTTCTTGACATCTATCGCCTCAAAGTGCGATAGATATAACGAGGGAATTAGATATTTTTTTGTTTTTATACATATCTACATCATTTTATATGTTAAGTCTTCTTTTCGAAATACCTGATATCAACACAAATGAGGATCGTTTGATAACACCGGACTGGGTTACCTCCTATCAACATTCTGATAATACATAACTGTTAGTCCCAAATGCAAATTATCATTAACTCACAATTGCTCCCTCATTCCCTTAATTTCCTCTTAGCACTTGAAAAAAATACCACAACACCAGCAGAAGACACTAACCCACACAACCCACGGCACGAAAAGGGCACACGTACCTTCCAAGTAACACTAAAACGACATAAACCTACCTCAGAGTCGACCTTGGACGTCCCACCCTGTTGCTATTACACTGTCTGTCTGTTTAACACGTCTGGTACCGGCACAGTCTCATACCCAAACTGTTGTACTGCAC